GCTGAAAACGCATTTGTGCATTTCGGCGATTGCCTAATGCAGCGTTGCATAATTTCAGCAAAAATCAAATATTTGAGCGCGAATCTTTTGTGCACCATCTAACCTTTCGGGCATCCATCCTCCCCTGATCCCCATACCATCGCCGGATCCCTGGCTCTTTTTCCCCGTTTTCTGGTCGAAACTAAAGCAGCGGAGCAAACGTCTGAAGGGCAAACAAACTTTTTGCCAGCGCCGGTTAATTTAGTCAATTCAGCTCCGACTGGCAAAAAGTAAGGAAAATGAGGAACTTGCATACCGAGTGCATTACGTTTCATTTGATTCAGCTGGTGAAATTTTTATGCGACGCGATGGCAGTGCGAAAAATTCACAAAATCAACAGAAAATTTCCTCGACCTTCCAGGGTTTTTCGATTAAATTTCCATGGCTGCATTTTGAAAATAGCAGTTTGGCCCCCAATTAGTTGAATGTTATGTATTTATATGGTGGGATGGTTCGGTTTAAGTTTCGGCAATTAGAGGGTGGATATCCCAGTGTCTGGCACTGTATCTTCAAGTCCGCTGGGACAGTTGGCTGCAAACAAATGGCCCGGCAAATTTCGGGCACTAAATCAGTGCAATTTTCGTATCACACCACATTACTCACAGGTAGCTTGTTTATTCGCAATGCATTTTTGTTTGCATAGGTGCATATATATAGGGCCCCCACCCTTATATGTGCACTTTTATGTACCCACATCCGGCCTCTGCAATTTTGCTAAGCAAACTTTATGTCCACCTTCTGTTCCCCCCTCTGCCCACACCAATGGCCATATTTCTAGTTCCCCTGGCAAAAAGGTAAGAAGCGAGAAAGAGGAGCCAAGGAGCAGGAATGCAAATTTATGGTCAGACAAAGTTGTGTAGACGTTGCAAGCGGTGGCAGCAATTATATATTGCAGAGGGGTCTTCGGAAGGGGGTCCTGCAAAAGGGGCGTGGCGGGGGCGAAAGGTTAGGTGCCGTACCAAAAGTAAAAGTGCCCCAAGGTGCAGTATAGAAATGATTAAATTTCCCCGGTGGAAAAATGTTTTAACCATTCTTCTTGCGATTATAATGGTATTTTTTAAAGCAATCTTCTAATTTATTGTATAGCAGATAAAAAGGTAATATTTTCCTTTGTTTTGCATAGATATTTACCAAAAAGCTGGCGATTATGAAGCCGAAATTCCTTTAAGAAGAATTTCCTAATTATTATACACCAGATACAAAAATTATATTTTCTGTTTTTTTAATATTACAAATAATATTTTGATAAACTTAATGATATTTTGTTAATGTATAGTTTCATTTAGGATACATAAAATATTTATTTTCTGTGCATTGTGCAACCCTGAACCCACCGGTTATGCCTTCGCCTAATGAGCCCGGCAATAAACCTATAGCCTAAGCCCAGCCGCCCAAGCATTCACTTATTTATGTGTATAACTTTAGTGCAACTTATTAAGTAAAGTGGTTTGGCTCAATCCAAACTGTAAGCTCTATCAAAAAGTTGTAAAAGCCGCTCTAATATCAAGCACCTTGAGGGATTTTCGCAGGGGGGAGCAAAGATTTACTTTGGCAACATTTCAATTAGAAGCACATTTTTGTGCTGATCAATAGGGAAAAGTTTTGTCGGCCGCAAAACAATGGAGCCGCAAAGCCGCAAAAACTGCAGGCGTTTCGGGCAAAAAACTAAACTCAATTTATGCTGTAGTAGTCCCTTCTTTGAAATTTGTCCTTGTTATGCAAGAGTCAAGCATTTTGAGAACCCATACCTGGTGAGCAAGTTACGCACCTCGTTCGTCCCACCTCCACTTCCGTTTCCGCTTAAGCCCTGTTCCACATCCAGATCCACTTCCGCCCACTCGCCCACAAATTAATGCGTCCTTATAGGCAATAAAATTTAAGTTTCTCGACTCCTGGCTAAATTTTTCATGAGCAATACCTTCCCTCCCCTGTTCCTGGCAATAAGTTTGTGCTACCAAAAAAGTTTCCCCTAAAACTTAACGAAATTTAGTGGTGCCTGGGAAGTCGGACCCAGAAGTAGTGGAAGTCGTGGTGGTGGTCGTGATCCTGGCCATTGCCCCAAACTTGTTGTTCCTGTTAATTGAAGCGTTTGGTTAGTGCAGAAATTAAGTTTGCGGTGGTCCCGGCCACTTGGGCACTTTTACTTCCCATTTTGCTGGGTGTTGCGCCGGTTGAAACATAATTACCAGTTCATTTTTATTAAGCAGCCATGAAAAGCGTCTGCAGTGGCAGATAAGTATGGATTATGCGGTGCAAGTTTGAGGGGTTTATCTCAAGATGACTGCGAAGTTTTGGAGCCTTAGATTGTTATTGGTTGCCTGGTGATGTGTGTTATTTTTTGAGACGAAACGTAACAGATATTAATATTTACCCCAAGTAGTAAATATACCCAAATATTGTGATACATAATAGCAACTTTATTAAATTATGAAGTTTATTTTCTCTTATTTTTAACTTTAACGTTAGGTATACGATTTTACTATGTGAATTAAATCCAACAATCTGTTAACCTAACATCTGTTGTTTCCCATTATCCATCGCCTTAATATTCTTAGCCTGTGGGGAACGAACCCTTTAAATTATTACTGATTCCCCCAAGGACGTTTATTGACACGTAAATTGCTCAACAACAAGTGTGGATGCCGAGCGATATGATTGAGGAAAGGGAAAAGAGGGGGATTGTTGTCCTGTGCTCTGTATCCCGGATCCATTGGCCCGCAGGTGTACGTGCTGTGTAAATATTTTGCTTGACACTATTAATTTTTACTAAAAACAAACAAACGGTTCTCACACGCGCACTCGAGCTGGAGCAATTTTTAATTAACGTGATTAAGTTAATTTAATGAGCTTTCTCCCGCTCCCTTTAAACTCACTTTAAGCGCCAATTAAATTTTCATGTCCTGGCGGTGTGTGTGTTTGTGGCAAGGACAACGTCAGCGACAACGAGACGTAAACATAAACGCCACGTTACGTGTTATGTACGACGGGAAATGATTTTTACGATGCCCAGCAGCAGCAGCAGCGCACCACATGTCTCATCAACGTCAGCTAGCCAACCTCGTAGCTCCCACCTCCAAGGATCCAGATCCCCACCCACTTTCCGGGAAAGGAAGGGTTCGCAACTCACTGACAGGCAGGACACTTTGGAGCGGCATTATCATTAACAACATCATGCGAAAGTGCCCTGCGCCCATATATCCAAGCACTCTCGAGCGCTCCCATATCGCACACACATTGTCAATGGCCGTCTGATAAGGGGCGTGCCGGTGGGCGGTCGTGGGGGGGGTTGGGTTCCTGATAATAAAGCAATTTCTGTGTTAATTTGTATGCCATGACCGTGTAACCCCACTTGCCCTAATGGATGTTCTCCGGGCCGATAGTGCGGCCAATTGGAGCCAGCGATATGGGGGATAATCCCCAGGGAATGTCAGATAGCGGCAGGCAAAATGGGTGGCAGGTGCTAGCTCCAAAAATATGCACATCTTGCCAGAATTTAAATAATTGCATACTTTGTGGCGACCAGCTGTGGGGAATACTAAAGAAAGTCGCTGTGGAGAGCATTATATTTATTCGATTCCTACACTGATAAAAATGTATTAGAAATTATACTCATTTTGGTGAAATCCTGTATGCTGCTAAGCTTGATGAGCCTAGTATTGCTTCGATAAGCTTTTTTTAGGAGACAACCATGCAGAAATTGCAATTTTCAGTATCAATTTAACATTTTTTTGGGAATGGGATCAATGATTCATCTTAAATTGTTTTATTTTAGATCATACCTATATATCATACCTTATTTGTAACTAACGAGTGTTTCTCTCAAAGCTCCAACCCTTTTTCGTTAGAACTTACCTCACCCAATCTTCGAAACCAAGAAGAATTTCCATTTCAGCACCTTTGCCTTGACTAATAATCTCTGGTCATTTTTCAACGTTGTGGCACTATCAACCCGACCATTTTCACCTTTTTCGATATCAATAATCCGCAGCCATTAATTACACTTTGGTTGTTAGGAATAAAGGATGGGTGTAAGTTGGCCAAGTGAGTGGTGGCTGGGGGGCCATATTTTGTGTCCGCTGCCAACTAATTGCAACAGTTACGACGCCATATGGCCACCAAGTCATCGGAGGGGTCGGAAAAGGAGTCGGGGTCCCCGAAGGACCCTCGCAGATGCCATTTTCTCCGTTTTTCTCCTTGCCAAGCGATGCGATGCGCGTTGGTGTGTGAAATAGACAACTTACGTGCCATTCCATACGCACGTGTGTGTGTGTAGGTGGGGAAAGCCAAGTTGCAAGGAAAAATGCAGAGGAAAATTGCAGGCAGCGGCAAAGTTTCTTTGCCCCCGTGCGCCCACACTATTTTCACTTTTTTGCACATTTTTCACTGCCATGTGCCAGGTTCATGTCGCTCGCTTTCGCCCCTTACCTCCTGGGTTTTCCTCTATTTTCCTCTATTTTTCTTACTTTTCTTTTTTTTTTTGGTTTTCCTGCACTGGCACTTGGGGAATTTACGTGTGCATGCATACGCTTAGTTTTCCACTGCCCCCGCGGAAAGGGAAAGCAAATTCGAGCCAAGTTCCCTTTGTCGACTTGGCCTCCTTTTGTTTTCTGGCTCTGCGGTTGAGCAGAAATAATGCATCTGGGATGTGAGCATTTTTGTATCTATGTATCTATGAATTCCTCTCCATTCGCATAGCCCCCTAATGAGAGATACTCCCAAATTTCCCCAAAGAAAAAGTCTCATTCTTTTTTTTTGTAATTTATTTCTTGTGTTTTATTGTATTTCATTGTTTTGTTGTTGTTCATTGATGTTGGTTTGTTGTTTTCATGTTTGTTTTTAATTTTTTCCCATTTACTGCTAAATAACTTTAAATGTTGTATTTCTTTATCAATATAATTTCATTCTTCGTCATCTTTCTCACTTTCCAGCTTCTTATTCATTTTCATCATTATTCTCTTTTCACTTTCTTCTGCTCGTTGTTGTTGTTGCATAGTCGCAAGATTTGTTTTCGCTTTGCTTTGCCTTCGTGGTTCGTTCTTTACATGAATAATAACTAAATTTGTTTCATTATAATAATAAATATCATAATAATAATAATAATAATAGGTAATAATGATTTGTTTATTAAATATTTTTAAAAAATTTTCATTTTTTTGGGTTTTGTTTTATTTTAGGAGTATATGTAATCGCTATCAATTATCATTCGTCAGAGTCGTTGCCCGAAACTTGTTCTCTTTCGCTCAGTTTTACTTTGTGAATTTCTTCCTGCCAAAAACTCCGTACCTTAAGATCTATTATTCCAATTCATCTTTATTTGTATATGTGTATAGTTAAGTTGTATATTCTAGTTCATTAATGTATATTTAATATATGTTTAATACAATGTATATTTATAAAAAATAAAACAAACTACAAAAATATATATGAACACAAAAAATAAACAACGAACAACAATTATTCCGTCAACTTCTTCTCTTTCCGCGAATATCACAAAACAAAAAACGATAAAAGACGAAGAAATAATATGGGAAACTTAACGCAATTACAAACAATATAGAGATATAGATAGGGATAGTAGGGGTGGGCAGAGGTGGGCTCTGCTTGAAGAACATATCGAAAAATTCGTTGATATCACCTGACAAAAATGAATAACTACTTACAGTACATACAAACATATGCCGTGTATCATAGTGTAATTTAACATTACTCTTATTTACGATCTGAATTAGGGTAAAATTGATTTTCCTCACATTCTCGATAAGGTTTCTTGTAGTTCCCTTCCTCACTCTCCTCCGAGGGATACAATACATTTAGTTTTCTTTACGTTGCAACATTCAGTAATTGTATTTTTGTTTTAGTTTCGTTTTTGTTTTTACTTTCAATAAACACATCACATCATATTCACAATTAATAATCATAATGATCTAATATATATGTGTAAATATAAATTAAAATTAACAATAATAACTATGACTTACAATGAAGGAGACTCTACACATAACTACATTAATCCATTTTCCCCTTGCTTCAGAAATATTTTCTGGTGTTATTAGTTTCTGTTTCTGTTTTTGTTTTTAGAGCGCCATGTACATGCGTCAAGTGAAATTGGTTTTCGAAACTATTCAAAAGGTTGAAAGGATCGCATCGAAATCAATTTATATATTGGTGTATATATTGGTTTGATGTTAAGGCAAATAAAAGTTTCGTTTCTAGTTTACAAACTCGTGCTATTCTACATGCGCGGCCATGTCAACTTACATGCCAGTCTACACATACTAGAGGAGATGTCAAGTAGAACAAAATTCCGCTGAATTCCCTTATATGGTACAATGATTCTTCTATAGTGTCTATACGTTTGTAGTTAGTTTGCTTAGTAACTAGGATTTCTCATTCCACTTATTGGTTTTTGTATTTTTTTTCACATTTTAAATCTTTTTCTTTTAAGAACGTTTATTTTTTACACAAAACTTCATTGTTTTTTGTTTTTTGCCATTTCGCAGCTTATTGTATTACTCATTTGTCGTTATTATAATAAATGTTAGTAACTGTTAAAATGTCGACGAGTTTTTAGTTTGAGAATCTACGAGTATGTGTGTTTATAATTTATCTTTTATCTTTACTTTACTTAGTTAATTTTACTTTCTTCGTTTACAACTGTTCCACTTCCTTTCGCTGTCGTTGCACATAGATTTAAGGTCTGATTATAATGGACGGAAACTTATTAGGCATTCTTATTTGGAGTACGGGAAAGATACGACTTCCTTGTGGTCGAGTAAGATTTGCGGAGGCTTCGAAGAGAGCGAAGAGCTGAAGTTGAGTACTACTACGAGTGGTTAAGGTTAAGGTTAAGGTTAAGGTGCTGGAGTCGGTATCTGAGTGTTAGAGAGAAAGAGGAACTCAGGTGTATGGATAGTAGGTGATAGTAGATGAGAAAACAAATTTCCGTATATTATAGCCAGCCCTTAAATGTATATGTAGATAAATCTGTTATTGTTGAACAATTATTAGCTAGATGTCGAGTATTATTGGTGTTATCGTTATTGAATGGAGATATTCTTACGCTTGCCTCGAGATGGAACCAATTTAATATTACGTTTAACTATCCTGCTGCAATGGCTCTAGTAATCGCTTCACTTTAATTCCATTTTACCTTTATCCAATTCTGCCCTCTTTAAATTATTATTTTTCTTTTACTTTTACTTTTTGTTTCTTTAAAAGATCACATTTCATGTTTAGTTGCCATTAGTAAATATATATATATAATCAATATATTTGTGTTAATGTATATATTTATACGTGTACAGACATAAATATATGTAGTATATATACATATAGTGTATATACGTATGCTTCTTGTATATAATAAGTAGTTTCCATTCTGCAATTTATTGTAATTGTTATTCTGTGTTGTATTCCAAATACGTTCTTGAGTGTATAAAAAACCAAGTCACAAATCTTAATTACAACAGCGCCAACTGTAAACGAACAGTGAATCGGAAATAAGTTTGGATTCGCAAGGTCGCATATAGTGGGTATGTCTATATACATATATAGTGCTTACAAATCGTTTGCATAGGAAGATATAGTACGGTTCAATTTCGATTTCTGTGTGAGCTGTGTGTAGGTTCTCGTGTTACTTTTCATTTACTAGAGAATTCAGCTAAATGAGTAGTTAATTATACACTTTAAAAAAGTCTCCTTTCTTGTTTGTTGTTGCAAAAATGCTTATTCCTTTAGATTTGATTAAATTTCTTGTTGTTTACCTCATCTCGATTTTGTTTATCAGTGATGTTTTTGATGCTTCCTTTTTGTATATAAAAAATATGATTTCTCTTGCTGTAGTTTTGCTGATTTATCTTGATCGTTATTATAAAATGTAAAAAAGGATTATGGTTTCTGTACTCTGTTTTCTGTTTTATGTTTTCTGTATCTGTATCTGATCTCTGCGTTCTGCTTAATAAAATCTCCGTATCGTTTGCCTCTCGCTTGTAGTAAATCGTTGTTGCAAAAATAGGACGTGACTGTACTTTTTCATCTTCATCCCCATCGTTATCGTTATTATTATTGTAATTGTTAAGTGTTTATTATTAGTTGTTCTTGCTGCTTATCTATGGCCTATGTAGATTCTGTTTTTGATTAATTTTGACTATTTGCCATGGAGAACGGTTTGTCAGGCTTAACCTTAGCTAATATTAACACTCCTCACTAAATGTTTATCCACTTTTATGTACCTTTATTCACTTTTATTTGTATTTTACTTGCATTGAAATATGGAACACTAGAGTTTAAAATAGTTTGTAACTAATTTTAATGCAACTGCGCTCTCCATCAATTTCCTCCTCTTGTAATATTAAGTTCAATTTTTAATTGCTAATTTTCTTTTGTTTCTTTTTGCATTTAACAACACTCTTTTTTGCTTTCTTTCATTTTGGTTTCGTAATATTGTAGAGTCTTCACTCAATATTTTCCCTCTAATGCGTGTCACTTGATGTGTAAATGGGATGCTTACACGTTAAAGTCTTGCTATACGTACGAAAAAGTTCTGTAGAGTTTACCTTTCTCCTCCCCCAAATAGTACTTTCGGTTCTTATTTTTGTAAATAGTTCATATCAACCTTTAATTTTCGTCAAAAACTTCCACTACTGCTTTGTGTCTCAATGTTTGTGTTTCGTAGAATGTGATTGTTTGAAGTTTTCTTTACTAGCTTAGACCTTTTTCAGACAAGTTCTGCTTGCTTTTGATTTCCTCCAATTTATCTTGGAGCACCGCTTCGGGAGTATTCATGATTGGTATACGTATTGTGTTGCTTAGGTTGTGAGGAGTATGCAATATAAGTATCTAGGTGAAGTGGAGTTGACAAAAACGAGTATTCCAATGGATAAAGTGGGTGACAAACTTTTAATAATAAAAACCCTAAAGGGTGGGTTTCTCAAATCTCTGGAGAATTTGAAAACGTCAATTAAAATTAAGGTCATAGATATTGAAAAATCTAAATTGGATATTGCATACTTTTAGGGCCATAACGTTTTCGGATCTCTGGAGATTAAAAACCTGATTTAAAAAGCCCATCACTTGTCTGTTTAAATATTGAATTATGAAAATCGGGTATTACGTACTTTTGAGACCCTTAACTATTGTTTTCAAACCTCTGGAGATTTCGGAAGAAACCCACCCCTATGACTTAACATACGTTTCTGGGAAAACGAACAGGGCTGCCCCCCCTGGCAGAAGCCCCTGGCAAAACCCCTTCTTCTAGATGCAGGTCGAAGGGGACGCCACCGTGGCCGGCGCCACTGTGATCGTGGTGGCCGGAATGGCCGCCACAGTGGTGGCCACCACCTGGCCCATCTGCGTCTGGTAGTGGTGGTGCCCCACGAAGGCGTGCTGCTGCCCCTGCGGCGGCGCCGCCTGGGTGGTGTACTTCAGCAGATGTTGCTGCGGGGCGGCCTGCAGCGAGATGAACGGCGTGCCCTGGATGGGGATGCAGTTGGAGTTGTAGTCGCTGCTCAGCACCAGGGTGGGCGTGGCATCGGTGTAGTAGGCGGGGGCCTTCAGGAAGGTCGCCGTGGCCGCCGGACCCTGCTGGTACTGCTGCTGCGGAGTGGGCATCGTGGCCGTCGAGGTGGTGGACAGCGTGGTGGCCGAGGAGAGGGTGGGCGAGGTGGCTATCGAGCAGGAGGACGACGAGGAGGCCGACGAGGGGGAGTAGGGCGAGCTGCAGTGGTAGGTGATGTGGGTTGGCTGTTGCTGTTGCTGCTGCAGATGTTGCTGCTGCGCGTGTTGCTGCTGCGCATGCTGCTGCTGCTGCTGGTATATGTTGCTGGCCTGCTTGCTGGCGTTGCTGTGGTAGTAGTTGTTATTGCTGCTGTTGCTGTGGTAGCTGAACTGTTGCTGCTGCGGCTGTTGCTGTTGCTGCTGCTGGTGTTGCTGCTGCGGCTCGATGATGATCAAGTTGCTGGCGCCGTTGTAGACTGGTGTGGCGGCTGCTGCCTGGCTGGCTGTTGTTGTGGCCACCGGGACGGCCGGCTGCGGATCACTGGGACTGGTGATCATGGCCGCCATGATGTTGGCCGGCGGCAGGACAATCGGTATGTGGTAGTATTTACACTGCTTGCGGCGGCACTGGCTGTTGGCGTGATCGCGGCAGACAGCAACACGTTGATCAATCACCTCGACCTTGTCATCTGGAGGTCGTGCCGGATCGTTTGGGAAAGCAGGAATAGAAGAAGAGAGTGGAGCGTTAGTATGGCATAGATGGCGGCGGGCAGTAAGTTGGTTTGGCAGTAGAAAACAGTGAAAGCTTTTCCAAAAATTTATCTGTTCGGTAATTTTTGTTTCGGTAGTAATTAAGTGATCTTTGCTGCAGCAGCTGACTTTCACACAATTTTACATGAGTTCTTATGAAAGTGAGTGGTGAAGACTTGGCTTCAGATTTAGCTGCCCGAAAAACAGAACCTCTCGAATATGTTTGTTCTTTACAATATTTCATACTTTTGTGTACTTTTGTGTGTGTAAATATCTTGACGGAAAGCCAAAACTAAAAGTATATAGAAAATCATCACGAAAATAGTCAACCATTTTATGTTAAATCAAATCGGCAGCCAATTTATCAAAACTAAATAGAACAACTCTTTTGGTGTCTTCCTAACTACAACTCAGGATAAAATCGGAAATCATCTCAACAGTGTCTAGGAGAAGGTAGCACTAAAAGCGTTTAGATATAGTTTAGAAACGTAAGGAAAGGAAGGGAACGCATATAGAGAAAGAAAGGGCGAACTGAGGAAAAGGAAAAAACTTAGGCACATGCACTTACCTTCAGTTAAATGAACGAATCTACAATTTAACCGACTGCACATAGATCTATTAAAATCTTGGCACACCGGGAGGGTGTCCAGTAACTATATTGGGCATGAGAGTTTTTGTTGTGTGTTCAGACATAGTTTTTGTTTTATTTTTTGGGTATGGCAGGATGCAAACGGAAACCAATTCAGGAAATCAAAAAGAGTTTGTGTGTTTTGTGTTTTTTTTGGTTTGGGAATTTTTTTATATTTATCATCGGTTTTCAGTTTCGAAAAAAAGAGAAGAGCAGAAAAAAGAAAAGAAAAAGAGCACAAATTAGTTATATCTTATAATATTGAAATGGTTCTCTAGAATGGTTAATGGTTGGTTAGAATAAATACGGTTTCGGTTTTACAATTGCTTGATGTTGGTGGAGTTCCAGATGTTAGTCGTAGTTAATAGAGCTAACTAGATATGTAGGTATAGGTATGTCTCGAACGTTCGTTCTTATCGGTTTCACATGATACATTTAATATAGATACTCGTATGTTAAGCTAGTTTTCTCATCGACTTAAATAATCTAAAAAAAAGGCGGAAGATTCGAAATCATAAAATGGCATTGCAAATGAATCGGAAAGGGGTTCGGCATTTCTGTAATCACAGTGTGTTCCTCGCAACTGTTTTTCTGTGGGTTCGTTGTTTCCGTCTTTTGATGGGGATATGTACATAAATATATCTCGTGTGTGGAACTTAAATGCATAGCTGAGAAATAAAGTTTGCCACGAAATAAAACACTCTGTGGAAGCAGCAAGTATTCGATCAACAGAAACTGGGCCAAGAAAAGCTAAAAAAGCTTCGGAAGCGAAGCGCCTCAAAGAGCTATCTATGGATGGACTCACTCGTATATGTCTGTTAGGGAACTCAAAAATGCTCTGATCTCTGAACTGATCAATCTGATTGCTTTTGCTTAGGTTCTATTGGGGCTGTACTAGGCGGTAACAATTACATATCCTAATAGGCGGCACTAGAAATATAAGAAAAGAGAAGAGAGAAGAGAAAGAGAGATCGTAAAAGGTGGGGTTAATGTCTTTACCATCAAGTCGAGGCCTCAGTTATATTTTGTGGGCCCTACGAGTGCGACACAGAAACAACCAAAGAGGGGCGGGAAAAATCAAAAGCTGCCAAGCTGAACTGAAAGTTAGGGCCTCGAAGATTCTTCGATCCACTAAGATGCTAACTGAAGCACACGAAAAGCTGAAGCTGAAGGCAAAAGCTAAGCACACAGAAATCGGCCAAGAAAGAAGCTCGACGGGAAATTAACCAGGATAAAAAGGGGGTTTCAAATCGATTCGACCGCTGCATACCTAATTATGTAAAAGGTGCCGTTCACTAGCATCGGACACTGAGTGTACAAGAGGCCCCTCTCCGGCTGGGCTACGATTTCGAAATATATAGAGAGAATACATGTTATATGGGGTAACATCTCTGTTGGGTGTGGGTGGGTGGTGGTATGGCGTGAGTGTTGTGTGTGGGTGGGTATTCGGTAAACAAACAACTGCTAACAGCTATGACACCCCGAGGTGTGTCCAGCTCATGTCTCGCGATGGGTATTACATAGTATGGCCCATGGCTCCTCCTGACATCACCAACGTCAACGTCATCGTCTCGAGGCCGCGCCTTTGGCCTGTTTGTTTGCTTATTTGCTTGATTGTTGGTTCTCGTCTGAGGAGCGGCAGCGCGTTTAATTTGATTAACTCAACGGCCCACCTTATAAGACTGTCCCCCCGAATCCCAGGGTGTACGAATTTACACGGGAAAAATACTTGCTGCTCTCTAGTCGTGTTTTATTTCCTTTTCGGGGATAGCTAAAGGGGTCAGGGGTCGAAAATAAAACTTAGCATCGGAAATGGGCAAGCGCTCATGCAGGAAGCCTACGGAAGTCGCCGTTAGTCAGGGCACACTGTACCTGGCCACTGGCATCCGTGTAGATGACACAGGAAGCGTTCATGGGTATTTTGGGATTCGCTATGAGACCATATTTATTTGGCCAGAAAGCCGAAAAACATGGCTCAAATCCAATATGCGTTATGAGAGAAATGTTTATATTAAAATATATTTTTGTGTGGGTGGATTTTGTGATTTGGTGAAAAAAAAGAGAGAGGGAAAGAATATGTGTCAACATAAAAATATACATAATAGTTTTAATATCGGTTTTTGTTGGTTTTCCATGCAGCGTTTGTTTTCGATCCAAATCCGTGCGTGATTGTTGTTATTCATAAATTAAATAGATATAAACATTGGGTTTCGTTTGGTTTGAGTTGCATGCAAATGGTGAGAACATTGTTTTCATGTTTTTTATATATCATTGTTGATTTTTTGCGCATGTGTGTTAGCATGTAAAAGGATTAGAAAAATTAGAGGAAATAATTATATTGTTCGTAAATCCATCGGAGAAATGAAAATAAATTAGTTTGCATTGAAAGACTTAAAATTAAGCTTAAGCTGCATATGCGAAAAACAAGCCTCAGACTAGTAATAAAACCGAGTTAAACCCGTGTGCCGGTCGGATTTTCCATCCTATCTTCCACCTCGTTAACGGCCCTTGATTTCGAATTATGCAAATAAAGGGAAAAAGCCTCGAAAAAAAAGTTTTCGGGAAAGAGGTGAAAATAAAGTTTTGCGGGCCACACGGGACACGAGTTAATAAATGTAAATGTGTGACACCACGCCCTCCGTGGCCGCCCACCATTAAAATAACAATGTTTTCGTGTTGTAATTACGGCTTTCGCCCTTTCATACCGCACCCACCCACTCTTCCCCCCATTCTCCCAGTGTAATTAACTTGTTGCTGGCGGAAAAGTTTTTTCGGATCCCTGGCTTTGTTGTTCGCATATGCAAAAAGGCAAAACGCACTTAAACCTATCGTAGATTAGTTCGGGTTCGGTTCAGTTTGTTTCGGTTTTGGTAGGGTTTGGTTTTTAAGCTGGGTGGCGCAGCAGCAGCAGTCAAATTAGCAAATTATAAAAGAGTAGCATACTTTTTGGGTGGTTAGTCGACGCTGCAAATAGGGATTTGAATTATACTAAAATAAAAACGGCAAATGAAGCGCAGGCTAAGCGGCAACTGAAAAAAGCAGAAAAAACAAGGATGAGTAGTAAAATAAAAATATTAAATAGTAAACAAATTAAAACTCATTTGGCAGCAGCAGCTTTTCACAATTTTTGAAGCGCATTTCAAACTTGTTACTGCGTCAGCCGTAAATGCTGTAAACGAGATAAAAATAAGAGGGTAAGGTAAGCTCGGTTCGGTTATCAAAAGCAGGGACAAATCGCTCCTCACAGGACATCACACAGAAACAAGGCAAATACTTACTACATACATACAAACAAGCCTGCAAAAGTCAATCAAAATGGTAGATAGATACATGTACGGATATATATATATAGAGGGGGAATATGCATAGGAGTATCAGATTTCAAAGGGAAACGCAAGAAAACTTTTACTAAATTCTTTCGGTTTACCAGTTTGCCTTGTAGTTGTAGTGTTTGTTTTATTTTGGGGTGTGTGTGGGTGTTTTTTGGGTGTATGTGGGCTATAGACTCTGGTTCTTCCAGCGCAGGAAAAGTTGAAGCAGTATTCTATTTGGTTTTAGATGTTCTCGTTCTCAAGCGATTCGCAGTGCCTTCAAAAGCAACTTCACCTAGAAAGCATCTCGCACTACAAACTTGCTAACTAAGTGTAAGTGTATGTTTATGTATGTGTGTGTTGGGGTGTGTGTACTGTGTGTGTGTGCGTGTTCGTTAAGTATCATATGGAGTATAGCCTCCTCTATGTTCAGCAAACAGTCAAACATTTTACATTGCGGATCTTTTATGATATCCTGCTGTTACGAAAAAGAAAGAAAAATTCGTTTGAAAAGAAACAAAAAAGAAGTCATGTTAATAACATTTTTTCTGGGCCACAAGTGTATTGTATATGTGTATGTGTGTCTCGGCGGGCTAAGGAGATCGGATGTCCGATCGGGCGAGAACTACATATATTATGGTATGATCTCCGATCTTCCTTAGCTCCACCGATCCAAGCGTTAAAACGTCAAACGATTCTACCAAAACTAAAAAAATGGTGAGCATTAGACATACTTAGCATCTATATAGCAGGTATCAGTCTTCAGATATAATCATAGGTATACCGTTATGGGAGTAAACAAAAGCTCGGATTTTGGGGGCGGTGCACCAGCTTACCTTAGAAGTGCTTTCATATAGCTTTACCATCATACCACATGCCTCAGAAGCCATACACGAGTTATATATGTATGTGAACAAACGCAATGTACGAGTAGTAATATCGATCTCGAGAGCGAGCGAGAAAGATACATATATAGAGGGTAGAAAGAGACAGCCACTTGCAACGTCACTGCTTGATATTCATACTCATAGTCATATCGGAATACTTGCTACAAAAAAGTTCTGTTTCATTGAGCACATGCTGAAAAATTACAAATTACGCTCCAATCGAAAAGTCTCAAAAATGATGTGGAACACAATATTAAATCAAATTAACACAAGAAAGGCCAACTAAATGAAAGAAATATCGGAAGTAATATCAGCGTACTTTCCCCCGCCTATTTCTCCGAGAAAGAGAGAGACGAGCGCTTTCGATGGGCGAACGAAAGAGTGAGGTATAGTGTATGTTCGAAAGAGACGACATTACTGTTTCTTTGGCGATGCTCATACTTCTTGTAATGACCTCAAAGAAAAGCTTCAAGTTGGGATATATATTATTACATCGGAGGACTGACTGATTCAGGGATCATGCTAGTGAAGGATCGTTATAGTTAGACTGAAAATCTTGAGGTTGTGAGAGTTACATCTAGAAGATAGAGATATAAAGTTGCTTGCTTGAAAGAGAGAGTCGTAGATTAAAATAGAGCAAAATGTTGGCAAAAACTTAAAATGGTTCGAAGCATTTTCTTTGAAAACATTACAAAAAGCGCTTAACTCTAGTGGGTATACTTGATATTGACATATATATAGTTTATATTCCATACACAAGAACAGCTTTAGCCAAACAATACAGTAATATTTCTCTGGATAATCCAGCAAGCCAAGTGTACTGAGAGTTCTACCAAAGGAAATCGGGTGTGTCTGTGTGAGGTGTGTGTGAGAAAATCAAAAGGATTTTAGTCGAGCAGAGAGCACATTGAGTTTTACGTACGCCTAAACAGTTACCACCGAGGTTCATAAAGAAAGAAGCGTAAGGGGAACATAAATATCGAGGAAGCTTGATTTAACTTAAGTACTAAGCAAAATGAGTAGACCAACTTAGGTGTAAAATCATAAATATACCAAATCAAGTATGGTTCATAAAGATAATTAAATTCAAGTTGAAACAGCCAACAAATAGAGAGAGAGAAAGAGACAACGCACAGCAAACTGTTGTATATGGATTAGTAGTGGGTGAGAAAGAGAGAATGTTAGTTTTGCTTTGATCACTTTCCAAGGTTCGAGTAAAAGAAGCCAACAAGTTGTTTTACGGTTTTTACAATAAAACGTATATAATATAATTTCAATATAATTTGTTTTGTCTTTATAATAATACGACTAATGTTAGCACAGATATAACATATTCAATAGTGTTCTTGCTTGTGTATAGATGTGTGTATAGATATATATATATTTCGACACATATATTTAAATGTTATGAATAATTTTTACTTCGACATTCTTGCTCTGTTACCAACTCTCTTCTTTGATTTGACATGCAATCGGTTTGCCATACTTTTCGCTCACTTATCGTCGATGGTAGTGAAAGCGAGATGAGATTTAAATTAAACTTAGTTTCTTTTTTCTCAAGTGTAATGTGTGTGAGATTTTGGGTTCGGCTACAAATTAAAAGGAGGCAACTAGGTGGTTCCACTAAACTATATCTTCTATTGGACGGTACTGTACTTCTATCTATTGAAGAAGGCTTGAAATCCCACTTTACTATGTTGGAATGGACTGTGGTTTTCTAAGTGGTATCTTTTCTTTTTATTTATTTATTTTCTTTTGTATATTAAAAATCAGCCTAACTCATGGTTATCCTAGTGTCAACTGACAATTCATTGCTATATTGTTGCATGGTAATGTTAACATACTGCTTTTGTTGTCTGTCTGTTTGTTTCTGTGATTTTTGGTGCATTGCAAGGTTTGAAAAAAGCGGAATAAATAATGAGCTCTTAGATCTGAAATGCAAGTTAGTTATATCTTGGCGCCATGCAGTGGTAAGTGGTGTTTTGGTTCGTTTTTAGTTTTCTTTTTTTGCTTTAGTTCTTAGTTATAGAGCGTTTTCTAAACATTTTTGCATAGTTCCTTTTTTGTTGAAAATATGGGCCAACGGCAACAGTTCTACATTGTTAACGAAAAATTTAACCATACGACACATATAGATAATGTTATCATACTTTTAGAGGCAAGACATTGAGATATATGATGAATATAGGTATACTTTAGTCTGGTTTAGCTGGCTATACGTATATATATATGTTGATTCAATATTGTTTTCGGCTGCCATGTTTAGTAAGCATCTTCCTTATAGAATATATAGAGTAAGCCAAGCATTAGCTGGCCATAGGCATATAAGGTAATGTTTAGATAAATGGTATATTCAGATTTTACAACTAATTCTCTACCATTAGCGTACTCATTTTGCTTGCCATTATTCTAAGAGCTAAAACATATAGAATGAGATGGATTTACGGAAGGAGTAAGATCAGATTTATATCTTTGGGAAAAAGCAATTGTGAGGGAAAGCAGGTCAAGGGGGAAAAGTCAGGCAGTCCTAAGAATATGTGGGTGTTTCTGTGTCTGTGTAAGGGAGATAGCGGGAATTGCTCGAATCACTGAAATAATATTCAACTAAAATATTAAATCAAAAATTCGACAAGCTCTGGGGAGAGAGAGATTTAAAGAAAGAGTGCTGCTCTGCCCAAAAGCGCTCGGCAAAGCTTGTGTTTTTGTGGATCGGGATCTGATATATTTTATGTATATCAAGAGAGTACGTATAAATCAGAGGTGAGATGTAAAAGCGGCACAACAGAAAACGATTATCAAGTGATTACCGAAGTAAGTAAATCAAATAAAGTAAAATACCAACACACAATAATATATATATTTGTTTTTCGTAAACTATATATTTAGATAAACACACGGTATTTCAAATAAAACATTAATAAAAACTATCGAAACTAAACTAGAATTAGGATTAGAATTAGGATAAGAATTAGTGGCAAACATCAAATCGTTGTAAAACATTAGAAGTACTTTAATTAAAAACAATTTTACAGAGATTATCGTATATATCGAATAGTAATGTGTGTAGGATGTTCTCGGATGTGGAGTTTTTATAGCAGGTGCGGGGTGTAGGCGGGGAATCTAAAACTTAGGGTGCGCAAGTCAGTGGCAAATTTATCTTGTTTGCTTTTGTAGGTTCTTCTCAAATAGTTTATCAATCGGGAACACACTTTAAAAATTATATAATAGCTACACTAAAAACTGGTTTATAAGTACATAAAATACATAAATATCAACGTAAAAATTACATAGAAAAGAACGTAAAGAAAAAACTGATAATCACACGAGATCTAACATTAAAAACTTAGTTCTGTTTGTCAATGATTTTATTCTTTGCTTAACAGTTCAATTACAGAAAGGAAAACATTTATAATACATCGAAAAAGTGGGCGATAGGGGTTAAAAAGACAGATGAAGAGTGGGATCGGGGCTGTTATAGAGATAGTCGTTATAAAATCAAAAGGATTTACATAGTTCTGGTCAACACATCAAATTTAAATCTCGATAACATAACATTAACATAAATCAATTTTGCTGGCTTAACAGTCTGAAAGGTGTACGGGTGTGTATGGTGTGTGGTGTGTTAGAGTGAAACGGATAGAGAGACGTGATCGTGAGTGGTTGTGACTGTACTGTAATATCTGATTAGTAAGCTAGACATACGATATACAGATCGATCCTGGTCATGTTTATGCCATTTTGTTTTTTTTTTCTTTTTTGTTTTGGTGTACTGGTGAGGGATGAGCGTGTGTTAGAGTACATAGTGTGTGTGTATATATTGTATCGTATATGGGTAGCAGCATACAGCACGTACAGCTAGGTTTATATGTATATGTATATCGTATAAGTATTCTATATAAACTAGACAATATTCGTTACGCATTTATCGTTGCTCAACAATTTTAAACAATTACAACAGCATTCACGCTAGCTATCTAGCTAGTTAGGAAACATTCAGAGACAGCGATAGGGTGTTAGAGAGAGAGCGCGGAAAATAAATGATGAGCGGGAGCGAGAGAGAGAGACAGCTATTCGAGCTACCGCATGTGGGAGACAGGGACGGCGATATGGCATCAAGCACCCGCAGCTAGCAACAAGCATACACAACTGTACCCAGCATCGGCAGCAGCATTAGAGGTTTATCCTTATCCCCAATGGCTTTATCTTTTTGATCCCTCAAAGCTTTTTCGCTATCACAGTTCTTCGTTCCTCTCTCTTTTATATCCCGCCCTGGTTTTTGAGTTTTCTCTATCCGTTTTTTGTGCGACCGCATTCTATAAACTAGAGTTGACTAAGTGCTATCCGAAAAAAGGAACTTAAGTATTACTATCAGCTAACATCTGTTTCTCTCCCGTTCGCTTGTGCTTTAAAAGCCTGGTTTTTCGATTCTTGTGCGAAGATGGCAACACTCTTGAGTCACAGTGAGGTTATGTTTCGTTTGTCAAATAACTTAATGGCAAATTATCGATTCGTTTCTTTTGTTAGCAAGTTTGGGCATTCGTGTTAGTAGGCTACGATCTTCGATCGTTCTCGCTGTCTGTCTGGGTTTTGTTATCGTGTCATGGTTCGTTTTTCTAACGCTATGAGGCCTATGGTACAACTAAGGTCTTCTCTCTACTTGTCCTTCTTCAAGGAAACTGAGGCACATAATCTTACGTCTTCGATGTGTTTAAATCTATGAATCTAAGTGTGACTTTGCATCCGTTTGATGGCTGGGTGTCTTAAGTACAGTTGTGTTTGTGTTTTTTTAGTATCTGCTTTTTAGGAGGTCTTCATCTTTTTGTAGGGGTTCAGGACCATGGCACTGCCGGGAGTTCCTGCCTGTGCGGCTGCTGCCGCTGCTGCAGCAGCTGCTGCATATTGCTGCGCCGCAGCAGCCTGAGTTTGTGGCATGGCATAGGCTGCAGCGGTGGGCATCATGGTGCCGGGATAGAAGTAGCTCTGGGCCTGGGCATATGGCATGGGTGAGGGTGCTCTCAGCAGGGCAGCGGATTGATATTGACCCGCACTCACGGAACCAGCTGGTACCGAACGCACTGGGGTACCGGCAACAGGTGTGCCGGAAGTGGGGAGGGATCCCAGCTGACGTAGTTGGGCCTGGGCTTGCGCTTGGGCTTGAGCCTGAGCTTGAGCTTGGGCTTGCGCCTGGGCCTGCATTTGAAGTAGAGCTGCCATGGAAACGGCCTGGGGTTGAGCCGCCTGAACAGCCTGTGGACCGGCCGCATAGCTCTTGTTCAGGGTCAATCCTGTGTAGGCAGCAGCTGCCGCCGCGGAGGAGGCTCCTGGCTTGGCCGCACTGGCCACCTTCATGGCGTAGTTCTTCTGGGCCACCTCCTTGGCCAGGGCAGCGGGATCGGTGTAGTAACCCCCAGCCGCAGTGGCTTGAGGAGCCAAGCCAGCAGCAGCCGCATATGCGGCATAGGCCTGCTGGGCATAGGCAGCCTGAGCTTGAGCCTGGGCCTGAACTTGGGCCTGGACTTGGGCTTGTTGCTGCTGCTGTTGCTGCTGCTGCTGCTGATGCTGCATCTGAGCCTGGGCGTAGGAGGGCGTGGCACTGGTGAGGCTCACCATGGTGGAGGTGGCTCCTCCATAGGGGGAGTAGAGATTGCCATAGCTGTAGGCGGGCATGGCATAGTTGATGCGCTGCAATCCCTGAGCCTGAGCCTGAGCTTGAGCCTGAGCCTGGACCTGAGCTTGGGCCTGAGCCTGGGCCTGCACCTGGGAGTGATAGGAGACCGGAGGAGCCGATGTGGTAGAAGTGGGTGTGGGCAGAATGCCAGTGCTGTGACCATTAAGCGTATACCTCGAATAACCCTCGCCATTCTGCTTGGCATAGTTGCGGGATGCTAATGTTGCTGCTGGATTGGAAACACTCCCACTATCTAGATCCCCATTTAGGGACTCTTCGGTATTAGCCGACTTCAGCTGACCATTGTTAAGATTATTATTGATGTAGGACAAGTAGTTGTTATTGTCACCCAAGCCATTGGGCAGGGGCAGAAGACTATCGCCCGAAGGGGGGGAACTCGGGGGCGGGGTCTGGCCATTAGGGGGCGTGGCAGATAATGCTGCTGCTGCAGGGGCTAATGTGTCTAATGTATCTGTTGTTGCTACTGCTGTGTCTGGTTTTGGTGAGATTGTTCGTGTTGTATTACAATCGTTAGAGGGACTTGGGTTTTGGTTCGGATTCAGATTCATATTCGTTTGGTCACTATTGTCTTGATTGCTGGCTTGATCCGCATTGTCAGTTTCACCATCAGCAGCACTATCGTGTTCTTTGTCTTGATCTGCATTGCGATCGGAATCTTGATCTTGATCGCGGTCTGGATCTTGATCACTATCGCTAGGATTAGTAATGGCTGTTACTGTTGTTGTTGTTGTTGTTGCTGATGCTAATGACGTTGATGATGATGATGCTGTTGTTGTTGTTGCTGCTGATGATGATGGTATTATATTGGTAGTAGCGATTACAGCGTTTATGATACTTTTATTATTAATATTATTAATCATATTAATATTACTGGCTGTTGCTGTTGTACTTGTTGTTGTTATGGCGCTACTTAATTGTAGTTGTTGTTGTAGTAGTACATTTTGTTGTTGTTGTTGTTGATGTAGTTGTTGTTGTTGTGGTGGTGGTTGTTGTTGTTGGGGATACTCACATGAGACTGGCACATAGGGCTGCATTAACTGCTGATAGGCGGTCGCACCGGGCTGATAAACTGGAATGCCAGACTTTTCGGCAGCTGGACGTTTGAACGGAACCATGCCAGAGAATTGCTAAGAAAGAGACGGGTAGAGATGGGGGTGGGAAGAAGAAAGAGATGGTAAATATTGATTAGTATCTTCATCCATTAAGTTACTACGCTTTCATCTTAAGCTACTGATAACCATATACACTATAACAATTGCTTACAAACGAGCTTGCTTTTGGGTTAATTTTGAGTTTCTTATTTTTTCGCTTTGCTTTGCTTTTTTTCTTTGCCAATTTCTATTCTTCTGAGGTGAGAGTTACCAAATCATACGAAATATATTCAAAACGAAATATATCTTCAAACTGAGGTAAGAAACGAAAAGGATATCCAAACTTAGGCTGGAGTATACATAGTTTGCAACTGAATAAATCGAAAGTGCGTGCAGTCGAGTGGAAAATTGGGAAAAGCGTTCGCAGTTTACATCTATAATATGTGAAATGAAAAAGCTTTCGGTGTTATTGATTTCTTTAATTTAATTCTTTTTATGATTTCAATCCGATCGGTTTTAATATTTTGTGTGTGGTGCATTTAAGCTTTGATGTCTTTGTTGGCCCCTAAGATCAACTTAGAATGTCTCCATTTTTGATTATTTTGTTAATAAAATGATAGTTATTTTTAAGAAGCAGACCAATGGCCACGATTTATCGATAAATTGCTCGAGATCGATTGATTTTGAATGCATGCGGCGTTCATCGAAAGTTCGGCTGGTTAGTAGCATGTCTGGATATATTCAGGCAGTAGTCTTTATAGTGTATACATAGTTGATCATTTTCTAGGCGGGCTACTACTGTACGTGGCGATTTTGTCATTCAGTTTGGAGTACTTACGAAGTTTTCATAGTAAAATGAACCAACCGTTTTAACATCCATCTTTTTTGGCATTTATCGATTGTTGTTGATTATGCGGTTAGTGTATGATTTTTGTAGTTGATTGTAGTTGGGTTATCATTGTTTTGGTTGATGATCAGATCGGATCGGGGTTAGCACACACATTTCGCAGTTATTATATTCGATTTCGATTGCGAGTTCGAGAGACAGTGAGATATAGGTGGTGGAGTTTTGAAACGAACGCAAGAGATTTATGGAATCGAAGAAGAGCAAATGAAGAGGAGAGAAGAACACAAATGAAATTAGTGGATATATCCTGGGCACAGTACGGTGGCGGTATTATGGCATTAATCAGATACATATATACATATAAACGGGTACACAGATACTTAGTCCTAGTGGGTGGCAATGTGATGTGATGTGTGGGCGTGGTGGGCGTGAGGGGCGTGATGTAAACGGAAAAGGGGGCGGGATAAGCAAAGTCTGCAGGCTGCAGGTGGTGCATGTTCAGCTAATTAACCAGGAAAAGCACTTAAACAATTAAGCTCGCGAATGCAGTCACACGGCAGAGGCGAAAGCGAAAGAAAGAAACTTACGGATACCGCTAAAGGTATATCTACAGCTACAGCCTTGGCAATTATCGGTTAAATCATTTTAATTAACACTTGGCAGGGCAAATGTGCACGTGTTGTGATTGTGATTTATCATATGCTACGTGTAATTGGTTAAACTCGCTCTTGCCATTGCAAAAAGTCCGCTTCTGTGTCTGTGTGCATTGATTAGTGTGCCTGTGTGCGAGTGTGTTTCTTGGTGAGTGTTTGCGCTTTTGATATATCGGATAATGACTTCATTTTGTAAATTAAACGAAGGGGAATTCAGCTGCATCCCCAGCCGACCTGGCCATGCTGATAATAAACGTTAATTGATGGCACTTTGATGTGCATGTGACTGACTAACTGAGTGGGTGGGCAAGTGAGTGATTGAGTGAATGAGCGAGTGAATAACTAAGGGGAGGTGAAAGTTAAGAGCATTTCGTTTCAGGGACCACAAAGTACGGGGGAGTTGTACTGGGGGCGGGGTTTATAATCTAAGTGGTTAGTCCTGATCAGTTTGAAGTCAATGGCGCTTTGGTTGGGAGCAAAATATTCAATTCATATGTGTATTATTATTATATCAAAATGTATCTTGATTTTAAGAAGATTGCAACTTTATGTAGAAGTTTGGAGAAAATTCTGATAAATGGAATAGTTTTACCTCACCAAAGCAGCGCCTAAAAACTTCAATTTCTACTTAAAACTATATATTCTTATAGCGAAGATCCTAGATCTCTTCACCCGCCTAAAAGCATGCAACGAAAAAGGCAAACTAATTTGATCAACCAACTTAAGCATTAACATTTGTCGAAACCAAAATAAATTAGAACTATAACAAGTTAGGAAAATTACAAAAAAATCGAAAGTGAAAAAAACAAAGGTTGGAAAACGGAAAATCGAATAACGCAAAAACACAAACAAGGTGAAGGAAAAGAAAAATACCAGTGGAAACATATCGGTCGTGTCCGCCGCCCGCTTCTTGCCCACTTCCAGTGTATGATGGCCCATTACGGCGGCGGCGGCAGCGGCGGCGGCAGCAGCGGCGGCGGCGGCAGCGGCGTTGTTTGTGGTGGTTGTTGCTGTTGTCGAGGTGGCTGCTGCGCCAGCGGTGCTGTGGTTGTTGTTGTTGATGTTGTTCAGCTGGTGTTGCAATTGTTGTTGTTGCTGGTGATGGTGTGCCGTCAGGGGTGAGGTCTGTGTGTGTGTGTTCGTGCGTTTTTTGGATTTGGTTTTTGATTTTTGTTTTTCAAAAAATTGAAATCAAACGGAAATTTCCCACAGGCAGGCAAAATATGCAAAATATACAAGCATTTAAATGTTGTGTCCATTAAATAGTTGAGAGATTCCAATTTGAATTATTCAAGCGGCAGTGGTGTTGGCATTTTTAATTGATTTTTTTTTTGCGATTTTCATGAATTATTAATTAGTTTGTCCATTTTATCATTTTTTTTTAGCAAATTATTTGTTTGAGTTCATTTTTGATGTTTTTTTTCATATTCCAATTTAGTGCACATATGTTTTTTATTGTATTCGTATTTGTACCATCCATCGTAGAAGCAGTTACAGTGTGCGTGTGTGGGTGGTGTTTGAGTGTGTGTGTTGGCACAGGCGAACAGATGAAAAATACATAATAGTAGAAGAGTACGGAAGTGTTGTGATATCGATAAGTAAATAAATAGAAAAAATCAAATTTACGTATATATAGTTTATATTCGTACAGAGAGTAAATATGAATTTAAATCAAGTAGAAATCAACGGTAATCCAAATAAACACGATTTCCATTTGATATTGAAAGAGCCTTAAATAAACGTTACGCATACCAACTAAATGTTAATAATCTCGATTAATATTCATTGGTTTATTCGGAAAGAAGAAGCGTAAATCAAGTTAGTTTTGTGTGAGTGAAAGCCTTTTTTGGTTAGAGAATCGTATCAGAAAAAAGCTTGCGAAAGCCAGCAAAGTGTAAAAGCCTTGTTCTTCTTACAGTCTAAAACTTGTCGTTTCGGGTTTTCTTAAGATCTAACTTAGGGGATGGCAAATTGAAGGGATTGCCAACAAAATCACTTGGTTCACCAATTGATTCGCCACCTTTTTGACTAGACACATTCGCATTTGTGGTGGAATTATTATATCATATATCATTATACCTACCGATGCATCGTTGCTGCTGCTCATTCATAAAATAGGTGACTAACTCAGGGAAAATGCAAATTAAGCAACTCTTTTTGTGTATTTTCGGGGGATTGAGTTTGATTTTCGGGGTTGGTGTTTGGGATTTTGGAATTTCTCGTCGTGGCCCAGTTTCGGTTTTAAGCCATATCGTATATAGCCTTCCGTGTACAGTTTTAATTCCCCGGAAAAGTTGCGACCCCGATTTCCGTACCCATAAATTTCCTCAGCAGAGCTCAATGCTAATGCGTTTAACACCGCAATTGGGTTCAGCTCTGGCCCGATTTTCGCCCCTTTACCACGAAAGTGGACCCATGTGTGCCTAATAACCAAGAACCACAAAATAAAAATAAACCAAACATAGCACAGGCGAACACTGGAAAAAAACTTGGCATACATTTTTGGGCGTAGGTCGCATGAGAGAGTGCACAAATTTGCATTTAAATGGGGGAAAGCGAAAGAGACAGTCAGTCAGAGGTGCGAAAGAGAAGGCCAGTTGCCTACTCCTTTGGTTTTTTCACCGCTTTTTTTCGGCTTGTGTCACTGGCAATGAATGCTACAAATGGATTAATTCGCTTGGGCGCGACAACATCGTGGGGTGTTCGCCATATGCATGTACATAAGGGTGGTCCACTCTTTTAAGCAAATTCTATCCTACATTCAACGGCTCTTACAATTTTTATGCATGTACGGGAATCCGGAAAAATTTCTTTGAGAAAAAATGATTTTGGCGCGAATTAGGAGATTATCACTCATACGCATTGTTGCCGTGGTAGAATTTTATCACTCATACGTAAAGTGGGCGTGGTCAAAAACTCTTTTTTAAGCTAGGTAGCGTAGATTTCAAGAACAAAGTTTTTTCTACTGACTTTCAAAAGAGATTAATAAATCCACAAGTCCTAAAAGAAGAGAAAGATTTGTGGCACAAAATTATAACTGGCTTACGTGTCGTATGAGTGATTTTTTAGAAAAGTTCGTTCGAATAATTGTTTTTTATATCTAACGGAAACTTTCCACATTTTTTTAAACGAAATTAATAAACCGCTTTTAAAATTTTTATACATGTACGGAATTCCAGAAAAACCTTTTTGAGAAAAATTGATTTTGGCGCGATTTAGAAGATTATCACTCATACGCAATGTTGACGTGGTCAAAAACTTTTTTTTAAGCTAGGGGGCGTAGATTTGAAGAACAACATTTTTTCTGCGGACTTTCGAAAGGGATTAATAAATCCACAAATCCTAAAATAAGAGAAAGATTTGTGGCTCATAATTATAATTGGCATACGTGTCGTATGAGTGATTCTCAAGAGAAGTTTGTCCAAAAAATTATTTTTATATATCCAGTGGAAACTTTCCACATTTTTTTAAACGAGATCAATAATTTTAACACGTTTTGAAATGAGAGAACTTTTCTTGCACAAAATTCTAATTGACGCACGTGTCGTATGGATGATTTTTAAAGGAACCTTACGACTTTTTACCTTATCCACGCATTCATTGCTCTCCAAAACTACCATGTAAAAGGGTTAAAATCATTTTTTATTTCTTGGCCCACCCTCGTGTTCATACGTATACATATATGGAAATTCAACCATTGCTGGAGGTGTGTGTATCGGGGTCGAGTCCATAAAAAACCAGCAGGCCTGAGCCAACAGACTCCGCTGGACAATTCATTGGCATGGAAATCTCTGCTTTTAGTTAATTTTCCGGTTCAAACGTTATCCGGCCCGGACTAATCCATGTCGTACCGTGTCCCTGTCCGTATGCCTGTCCGTATCCCTGTCCGTATACGTATCCGTGTCCCGTACAGGTTGACATTTACATTTTTGGTCAGTTCGGTGGGAAAAAGAGGGATCTCCCTTCAGATTCAGTTTCACTTTTCCTCCGGCCTTTTCCTTGGCCGAGATGCTCTTGTCACGCTTACATGCCGGGATTATTGTTCTGTGGGGTCGTTCGATGCGGCAGGTGGCATATTTGTGGGGAGATGGAGATTCCCATCGATATGGGGCTTTTTTCTCCTCTTCGTTTGCTGACATATGGGGGACGTTTCGGTGACCCAGAATGCCAAGCAGCAATCATAATAAACAAAACTTAAACGCTTATCAACGGACAGCAACAATAACACAGGGAAATTATAGAGGGAAATCATATATGCAAAGGCAAAGTTTTGTGTTTGGTCTGTTTCTGTGGTGTGGTTTTGAAGAGTCTGTCGATTGGTTTTGGATATAAGTATATATAAAGCTAAATACGTTTATAACTCGTTAATCAGCTAACTGTATAGGGGGTTTGAAGGGTACATTTAGGGATATTATTATATAAACATAGGGGTTTCTTATATCTGACTACAGTCAAAGTAAAAAGATTTAATGGGAAAACAGTGACAATCTTTTTACTTTGCAGGCATGTCTTGGTTTTTTCATATGTACAGATATATTGTTTAAGTATTATAGAGGAGTATAATATTAACTGGAAACAAGTCTACATAAGGGTATTTAATAATGAGATGTATAAAAGATTGGAAAAATGCTATGAAATGAAACAGCAGCGCTGCATCGGTTTTGTATTTTTGACTGTATAGCTCTGACTACATCTTACGCTATAGATAGACGAACAACTTTCCTGCTTTAAAATTCGGTTTTATTACAGGGGAAGACAATCAAGCGGGATGTCAAAATAATGCACGATAAAAAAAAACCCGGCAGACAGGTGCAATAAGGTAAGCGTTTAATTCCCATTTTTACCAGGGCTGTAATCACATTAAACGAGCACCCATAAATACAATTATCGGTTCAGGGGAGGGGCGGGGCAATGTCAACATATGTGCCTGGGTGTGTGTGCTGTCGGGAAGGTATCAAAGGACATTTTCATACAATAATCACGTTTGTCCTGCCCTTCAGCTCGACGAGGAGAGCCTCGATTGAATTACGCCTAAAATGCTGCAACAATTTTTCACTTTATGCGATATTATGCTGCAATTATGTGTGTCATTTTCACCGCCCTGCCCTCCCCTCGCCCCCTGCCCATTTTCCCATTTTCCCGCTTTCCAGCCTGGCCAACAAGGACACCGTTGTTGTTTGTTGCGTCAAATAAATTTCCAGCAGAAAGCAATTAAGTCGCGAATTAAGTACGGCGCATAGGACACGCAGCCGGAAAACACGGATACGACCACGTACGTGCCCATGTGTGTGCGAGTGTGTTGGCCCGGCTGCCTCGCTTTTCCGCTTTTCCGCTTTTCCTCGCTTTTCCCCCGACTTTCCCCGCCTTTCCCGCCTTTTCCCTGCTCGACCTCCTGCGTGCTCAAAGTTTTAACGCGTTGTAATAAATGTTAATTTTGGCCCAACGAAAATCAACATTTATGGCGTGTTTTATGTGAGCTTCAGCATATTTCCCGTGTTTCCCGGATATTTTCGGCCCAACTCTCCTGGCAGGATTATGCTCTTCCCACATTACCCAAACTGTTTGTTTGCTTTGTGTCTGGTTGGCAGGGGCGGCTCTACTTAAAAAATATATAATTATTTATTGATCTACAAACAAAATTAACATCTAAATGACGCTGAGAAACACCCGTGTTTGAATGGTGTCCCCCGAAATGATTGTTGAACATTTCATTTGCCCAGGACAAACATAATTACGTTCGGCCAAATGAATTTTCAATTAGCCATAAAATTTTATTTAATGCCTCTCCACTGACTTATTTTCAATGAGACCCGCATAATAATATTTTGTATTCATAATGGGAACTATACTGTGCATTAAACTTTTAAATCTTCAGTCAAGCCTAAAAAATAAGTACAGAAATGGCTGTTTTTACTATAACCAACTCTAAACTTTAATTTTTAATTAAATAAATAATTCGAAAATTTTTGAGTGCATAATCCAAATGTGTCACGTTATATCAGGCATAATTATTCGGTTCATTGATTTGAATTTTTCTATATTTTCCGGGACGAGCGAAACTCGCTTAAGCGTTTATTGCCATAGCCAGTGGCAATGTCATTGAATATGCAGCATAAATAAATAGCATAATTTGTGTTTTACAAATTTGTACGATTACACACTTTTCGTTTTATTTTTTTCAGCTCTTGGGGGGAATAACAGTTATTTGTAGAGAGATTTTGTGTGGGTGGGCGTGTGTTTGCATAAAGTTAATTAAATTGTTTGCATGCGGCATTAACTTCTAATTAAATTTGCTTTAAATCCGTATGCGAGTATCAATGGGTAGAGATTTGCCAATAAAATCGAGCGGTGAATTTGGTACGAATTTAAGGCAAATTTAATCAACTATTTGGAACTAAGCAGGATGGCCTAAGGTCATCGTTGGCTAGATATATACAGGAGATATAGGTATATAAATATATTTATATATTCGTGTGGCGTGTTAGTGCAGGAGTAAAATTCTGTGTTGTATTTCTCTGTAGAGGTTATTTGGAGAACATAAACAGAAAACGCTAGTTGGGCGACTTTTTCACAAAATGACTATGGTGTCTAAAAGTGTGCAGCAGTTTTTTTACTATGTTTTGGTACTGTTTTATTAAAAAAATTACCTTTTCATGTCTAACGTTATATAAAAAAAAGTTTTTCGATTGTGAATCTAAAACGTTTTGTTTAAAACATTTGAATATAATTGATTTTTTATATAATTGAAAACTAATCATTTGTATTTTGTTGATATTTCAAAAGGTATTTTTTTACGTCAAAAAGTATGCTACGCCGCATATTGAAATTTAACACTGCATTTATTTATAAAGTCCTATTTATTTTCTTAATAATCATTTTGTGAAAACGTCGCCCGGCAAACATGTTCAACCAAAAAGTCACTTCGCAGTTAAATAAAAATAAGGAAACCATAAGATATTTAGGCAGCACAAACACAGGAATAAAATCAAAATCAAAGTAACGAAAACGAAACGAGAACAGGGCGGTAATCGATCGAACGCAAACGCAAGAGAAGGTTCGAAAAGTATAGAAAAATATATAGTATATAGCCATACCGCAGCTGCAGCAGCGACAGCGGTGGCGCGTGTTTGGGCCGCTTTTAATTGTGCCTGTAGGTGCAGGGGGGGATGGAAGTAGCGGCAGGGGTCGCGTGCGCACCTGCCCTTCACGGCGTCCATGCAAACCGTTATCGAGCCGTCGTCGTGCCTGGCGACGGTCTCCTGCGGATGGGCGAACCGGCACTCGGACTCCGCCCGTTTGCAGGCGCCGCGCAGGAATTCGCGGCACACCTGTTATCGGTTATCGGTATCAGTTATCGGGTATTCGCATTCGCAATCATCGCATCATCGATCGCAAAACACACACACAACACGAGGCCCGCACATTTCCGTGATCATCATTGGGTTTTTTGTTAAAACATTTTGTGGTTGGGGTGATCGTTTATCGTTTTTCGATTCATTGGATCGTTTCGATTTCGTAGTCGCAGCGCACATCGGTATCGGTAATCGGTATCGGGTATCGGTATCGGTATCAGTTGATTGCGGGCGTTGGCAGCGGATAGCAAAAGTGGCAGCAGTTGTGGTTCAGAGTGGTTCAGTGGTGTTTTCGGTTTGGTTGGTTGGTTGGTTTGGTGTGTGTGTGTGTTTTATAGGCGGAGAAGGTGTATGTGTGTGTGTGTAGAGTGTGTGTGGAGTGTGTTTTTTGGAAATAATGGAAGGATATTCAGTAACAAGATCATTTCTTTTGTTTTTCATTTTGTACTTTAGTTATTATTGTGGTTTACGTTTTAGTTTTCATCAAAAGAAAAGTTAAGTATTTGCGCAAAAATATATATATATTTTCGATTCGTTCCAAGTCAAATATGGTAGGCAAGATTTAGTGGTTAGAGCCGATACAGATGCATTTCAAATTTGCATATTATTTTTGTTAGGTTTTTGTTTCGATTATGTGGTACTTGCCTCTTGGAATTGGTTTTGCTTTTGTTTTTTGGGGTGTTGTTTTTATTTTTGCTTCATGCCGATTAGTTTTCAATTTGCATTTTTTGGGGTAGTGCACTTTTGAGTACGAGGAAACACAAGAGGAACACGTAGCACAAACAGAACAAAAAGGAACAACGAGAATGCAAGGATTATTCGAACTCAGGAGTAGTAAAATAACACAAAGACGTTACGGGGAGCTCGGGTTGGACTGTTTGTAGAGAGTATATATCGGTGTCTGCTGATTCAAGAACTCAGGGAACTAGGATATTTAAGAAAGAAAAATCATTGAAATCAATGGCTGAACAACTACCAACTCTATGGTACAAAAGATCCTCTAGGGAATACGAAATAGTCCGCTACTCCTTAACTTCATATCTACGATGATATATTTTCTAAGACTCTATAGAGGAGAATGGGATGAAAAAAGGAGCTTCCCTTCCGCTTAATCAGAAAATCAAAATAACTATAGGAAACGGAAAATCAAAATCAGTAATCAGAAATATCAGTGCAAAGAATTCTGCAATTTTTGATAGTTTTCTTGGGCTATATTTACAGGGCTCGTAAGCTTCCTAAAAAAGCTTCTGAAAAGCAGCTGCTAGGCCAAGCTGCAGTATTGTGCGATCGACTTGATCGATTCTTACTAATTCGCTGATATGATGTAGATAAAAAAGATATTAAGAAATTAAATTAAGAAGAGAACATCGAGATTGGGTGTCTTTATATTTGGTTTCAATTTGGCGGTGTTAGACAAATACGAATGTGTGTCAAAACGTCGAATCAATTTCTGGTTATGTGGCGAATTATACAGTTGATTTTGGTCGCAATTTCAGCTTGATCTTTTGGCAAACTCAAGAGAACTCAAAACTCTGTACAATGTCTTTTTTCGTTTTAGTTCGCAATACTTGTATACGTAGTTTAAGATTAATTCTAATTAGAAATATAAATACATAATCACATGCCACGAAAAGGAAACATAAAAACGGAAACAATTTTCGTTGCGTGTAAGTCTCGCCCTCGGCGAACAAACAAATTAAATTAATAAACACAAAGTAAGCGTAAATTAATCGCAGCAAATTGACTTCCTTGGATACATAAGTTTTTAGAACAGATACAAAAATGCGGCATCGGGCCGAAACTCACCTCTAATCTGTCGGAACGTGGTATTTTCTGCTGGGCCACCTGCACTGTCTGGGGCACCACGGGTCCCAGCTGGGAGGCCACGGCCGAGGGGTCCGGACCCAGCAAGGTGGGCACCAGGTGTCCCGTTGTGTAGTACGGGCTGTACGAGTTGGCCGGAATGCCGGTCAGATAGGGGTTCGTGGCCTGCAAGAGGGGGGATGGTCGGTAATCAGTCATTAGGGCCTTTATCAGGGCAATTCATCAACCAGTTGTCCATCAGAACGTAATTACAGTGGCACATCGCTGGATTAGTTGGAATTGCCTACGCACAACGGATAATGCTGTCATAATATCTCAATCGGGTAATATGGAAACATTATTCCATTATATTTCTTCTTTTCTACTTAAGTTTTGCATTATTCCCTTATAGCAAGTATCAATTGGTGATACTTAGCTTCATACGATATTGTTGTAACTCCCTATTAAGAATTCCTGACAGCTCAACTTTAGTCCACATTTAAATCTATAGATCTGCATTATTTTCCCAATAAAGAAAGTAAGTATTTTTTTTATACCTAAGGTCAGTTTTTAGAATGTATTTATTAAGTTCATCATACTTCAGTATATGTTTAAACGACATTGTTTTCCCATTAAAGCAATAATACTACAGATATTATTTCCTTAACATAGGAAGTATAAAAAATGCTACCATTTGGTTGGATAATTTTTCGTAAGCCCCTGAAAGAATTCCTGACTGCTCAATTTGGTCCTATTTTAAATCTGTTTTATTTATGGCCTATCCCCATCCTAATCTAATGATTCGACACCCCATTGAAGGCTCACACTGCCCATTAACTGACCCTTCCGTTGGGCTTAAGTTATGCCTGGCACGCACTCGTAAACCTTTTTGGCCCCTGACACGAACTCTAATGAAAATTCATGCATTTTTCAGCAATCAACATGGGCACTCCTTTCCCCTCCCCCCGGAACACCAAAAAAGCTTCTCCCTAATGATGGCTGTCGTTTAGCTGCAAATCCACAAAAACCATGTCGCAAATTATTTGAGAATTAATTTTCGATTTGTTATAAAGCGGGGAATTTCCACCCCCACTACCCCATACCCCTGCATGAATAAAACATTCCTCTTTCTCACTCTTTGACTCATTTTCGCGCACTTTGAATTCCCCTTTTTTGCTGGTTGGTATTTCGGATATTCATGGTGGCGCCGGAGGAGAAGTTCTCTTATAAATATTCATATTTTCGAACTGGAAGCCAGTGGGTAGGGAGTCAGGGAAAGCTCGGAAAACGGGGGAAATTCAATTAAAGTATTAGAGGGCCGCACTTACCACGGTTGGCACTTGGCCCGATATGACCGGCTGGCCGGGCGCGATGCCCATCTGTTGCATCAGTGCATTCTTGAGGGCCAAATGATTGCGTCCGTTTATCAATAACTGATCCTTCAGATGCTGTGGTGGATGAAAGTATTTGCACGGCGGTTTATCACGATTACAGCGGCCCTGAAAGAGAGAATGCAAAGGAAATGCTTAGCGAATTTTTCCACTTCATGTATACTACGCATATAGAAAGAGAGCTCCATAAATCGCCCCCAACTGACAGCTGGGCCATAATTCACCTTCGATTACTGGGCAGTGGCAATTTAGTGAGCGTGCTGGCCAGGAAGTGCTTTTGTCGCACTAAATAAATTACTTGAAACAAATTTATGTTAATGCCTTCTACTCCTGGCTGCGGGTGCTGTGTTGATTAACACAAATTGTTGTGCTTAACCTTAATGCCCGACTTGTTTCAGGTTCGATTTGCAAGGGTAAACACAGTTTCATTTGGTTGTGTTGAAAAAACAAAAGGGGGTGTTCTGGATATTGTTTTTTTTAATAAAAATATAAATTATATATATTAAGTAAATAATATTATACAGTTTCCCATTTTTATATCAAATGATGTGCAATAGTTTTATTGATCAAACAAGAAGGGCTGTTCCGGATTTGGTTTTCTTTAATGTGAATAATACTCTTTGCTTTTAATAATTTATTGGGTAAATAGCTTTTTAAAGTTTTAACATTTCTGTATAGGAACTGACGTAATATGCACTGAAATAGTATCGTGGAATTGGGTAATTCAATCTTCCCCATTGAAGTTGTTATAATTGGGCGCCATTTAAAGCAAATTACACCTGGCTGCAGTAAAGCCAGTCCTATGTAATTTCTGTTATCCTTGGCATGACTCAGAGCTCCGAATAACTTTATGTTCGTGCTGTCAACACATTTCACCCAAGCCCAAAGAAGCCAAACCAATTAACTGCATGCAAAAGCAGTTGCAATTTTCCTTCGGGCCAAATCTGGATTCCGGAATGCTCGTGAAACATGGCATCGCATTTTCCAAGCATATTTTCGGGCTATATGCGAGATCGAAATTCGTTTTTAATTGCGAAAAAGTAAAATTTCACTTCATTAGCACGTGTAATTGTGGCGGCGGATTAACGCGGCCCACTCCCTTTTTAATGTTTCTTTTTTTAAGCCGAAATGTCAACAATAATTATAATGACCATGGGATGGAAGGGCAAAAGGGGGCGAGCGGGGGCTAATGCCCCCAGATGCATGCAACGTGGCATGTGGAAAAGGATTCCAGGCGAAACGAGGGCAGGCCAACTGGCAAACAAATATGCATGTAAATTATATTTAATTCAGAGCAAATGAAGTTAACAAATATTTGCATACTGCAAGGCGCTGGGTAAAATGAGTGAAAAAATGGGATAAAAAACCAAATTTATATGTAAAGGGGAGAAAATTGTGTGTGCATAAATTGATTGTTTGTCCTGGCCAGAGCAGGACAGCAAACACCGGGCAGACAGGGACGGCAACTGTGGCACAGAGACATGCCAACTCGTTTTCGGTTTCTGTTTCCTTTTGTGTTTTTCCCCTTTTTCCCGTGCTGCTGCTGATGGCATTTACAATTTATGACGCCCTGAAAGCTGTACAAGATTTATGGCGCCCAACAACTGGCGCTAACTCACAAATAATTGTTGCTGAACAACATTTCTGCCTCTGTTTACTCGCATTTTTATTCACATTGTTATGATTCCCGAAAATATCTGTTAGCATATTGGCAAATGTGGGGCAAACATCCAAATTTGCGGGGGTACAACTTTTTAATAAACTATTTGCCAACTATCATTTGTAGCCACTCGGTGCAAAGCCATAAATTAGCCTAATTAATTGTCAAATGCTTTGCATTCCCCAACGCCCAGTGGATGGATAAATATTTGGCGAGCCAACAGAATACTTGGCATTGTTGGCTCGCAATTTTGATCAACAAACACAGCAGAAAATATTTATTGACGACAAGCAAATATTTTTCTCCATCCTTCAGTGCAAAACTTTCAATCAGCAACTGCCAGGACTTTCAGGACACACAGGAACACAAATATACACACGAATAGGAGCCACTTTGGCATATTTGTTTGTGCTTATTGGCGCCATTGGCAGTAATTTAATGCTTCGATTGAGTTTATTTAACAACAGCCACCGTTTTGAATGGCAGCACTTGTATCTCTATCTGTGCACTGGTGAAAATGGATGGGAAATCAAGTAATCCACTCTACTTTTAGTCGTTGCATTGCATTATTCACTTTCGCTCTTTTTTTCCCATTTCTAATTTATATTACAGTACTTTTTCAGTTTAAAGTACTTGCAACACCTATTTTACAGAATTTAATATTGAAACTGACAGGTATATGTAGATATAGGAATACTCATGATATATTTTTGTTGTGTATTTGACTCTTTGTCCATACATACACCCGATCCCTCTGTTTTGCTCCATTTCGATGTGATGAAAGGCTAATGCAATTTTTCAAATCGCTCACTTGATTCCCCTGGTAACTGGGTTAATTGCCTCGTGATGGCCAGTGTGTAGCGATGTTAGGTAATTGCTAACCGAATTATCGGTGTGCATAAATGGAATGTTACGCTATTGATGAATCTGTAAATCGATTTGGCATTCGTTTCACCCATTGCCGCCATTGAGCGCCTTTCAAGGGCTGGGGCAACAAATTTAAATTGCATTTGCTGGCCACAATCAAATAAGACATTATTCTTGCAGTCCGGGAGCAGATCCTCGGCGGCGGACAGACATTATCTGTGAGTGCCAAGCGCTTGCCACTTGCCACTTTCCACCTACCGTTTTCCCGGGGCAATTTCTTTCTTGTGGCTGGCGCCCGTAGATATGCAACACTTTCTTGCTGCCGCCGCTTGACATTGCCACCGCGATTTTCTTCCTTTTTTGCCCCTTTCCCCATTTTTTTTGCCACACGCCACACTAAACATTTTCATGTCATTTCGATTGTAATCTGCATGACTGCCTCGCTCCTTGGGCGTGCGAAAAAAAACCTCGAGAGAGAGTGGAAAAGCGAGTGCGAAAATTGCAAATGGTGTCCACTCACGCACGCAGGGGGGGGGGGGGGGATTTCAGGGGGAGTAGCATATTTGCATTCGCGTTGTGCAACTGAAACTGGAACCCTTTTTAGAGCACTCGCCCTTTCGCAACGCTTCTTGTTTCACAGCTCTGGTCTGATGCAGATTATCCGCTTTAAATTGCAATGATTACTTTTTCGCTTTCCTCTTCCCGACTCCCAATCCCATTCCCATTTCTATTTTCCTTTTTTATCCCTTATTTTTTGGGTGGAATGATGGCAGTGATGGCATTTCAGAGCCATTTTTCTTCTTTTGCCAGGCCATTCGAAACAATGTCGCTGTCGTCTAGCGTTCTGCAGAAATGCCATTGTGGAAAGCGGAGGGGTACGGGAATGGGCTGGGATGGTGGCCATTGGCTAAGGAATTTCTCATGTTTTCATGCCAAGTGCAAGTCAGGTCCAGTCATGTATATCGTCGCGTATCGCATTGCCATTTGGTCGACATGCGTCTTGGGGATCCCCATCCCGCCGAACCCCCAGTTAAACCCCCTTTCAAGAACGCAGCTGCTGCCCATCAACTTCGGGGCGAGTTAGGAGCTGGGAACTGGGAACTAGGAGCTGGGAGCACTCAAGTCCACGTCCTCGTCTTCGTCCTCGTCCAAGTCGTTGGGTATTAAATGTCATTTTGCATTTCGTGACAAGTTGGCTAATCTGACTCGAAAGTTATTTATTTCTTCTTTGTTGAGTGCAAAGGAATTTTTCTTACACTTTTTTCCTATTTCTATTTCTGCCCTGAGAGCATTTACATGGCATTTTCCTCGGGGTCTCTGTTTGCTTGGAACTGCTATCTCCCCGTTTTCCCCCCATTTCCCCAGCAACTCAAGCTACTTTTCTTCAATTTAGCGGCGATAGGAATCGCCTTTGAATGTTAATAAAACGGATTTTTATGCAAATTTAAAACTGTTTAGTGGTTCGACTTTGCTATGCATTAAAAGAGGAAAAAATGCGATCCGCGTCTAGGGTTCCTGCGAAAATAGACAAAGAGTTGGAATAATGCGAATGAAATATGTTCGCCAGGCTTTGTTTGATGTGGGGGAAAATGAATGGGTTTGGCTTTAAAGTTAGGATTGGCTTTGCTATTCCGTTTGACTTAAATTTAATGCTCTAGCTCGGTGGTTCTATTATCTAAAATATATTTATATATTTAGGAAAATATAATCTCTATGCCGTTAGAAAATGTTATAATATTTCCCGAAATTGGCTTTCCCTTATTGTCATAACTGCAAGAGGGCGTTATTTTCCGGCGAGTGAGTGAAACTTATGATAAGCCACTTTGCAACACACAAATTGCATGTCCCCCCGAACTTTCCAGCACTGCAAACTCCATTTAAGGCTTTACATAAAACATAAGCAGAAAATGTTGCTGAATAAAAATGCGGAGAAAGGGAAACAACAAAGCTGGCAAGCATAATTCCTGACACTCTCCGTTCTTAAAAAAGAGGAAGGCGGGCTAGAACCGGTTGCCAAAAAATTTAATGCAAACTAACGGCACTACAAGCTTTAGCACTTTGGATACAGCCCACACACACACACACACAGGGAGATAGTTGAAAACTATTTTCGACGCTTAACGGAGAACTCAATTTGTTTTCACTTGGCCATGCAAACACACACACTCACAGCTCAATAACACAAACAGCAAATAGAGATAATCAAAAAGCAATTGCAAACAACAACCGGGCCTTAAAAATGGCCAAGAGAAAGGAGAAAGAAGGGAGTTGGTAAGAGAGAGCGACTGCTGTGTGGACACAGTGAGATATTTATTGTATAAATGCCGGCAACAAAATAAATTAAAAATGACAATTCACCGTAGGCATGGCCAGGGAAATCAAGGCAATTTTCCATGTGCCACAGTCGCACAAGCGTACAAATATGCGGACACACAGACTCGCAGACGACTGCGACTAGTTTGCAGTTTAATTTTCAATATGGCTAACCGGCAGAGTCGGGCGAGCATTGAAAATGAAAATATTTTCCTGAAATGCAAACAAATTGGCAAAAGGCAAATGGTCAATATTTGCCGGCCATAGG